CATTTAGTGATTTCTCTGGTTTTTAACTCTTGCCAAGTTCCATACTATCCTTTATTTACCACACAACAAAGCCACATAAAGGTCATTAAAATATTAAAAATAAATGCCTGTAAGCCCAAGTAAGCACAGCTGCCAATCGTATTAGTATAAAAAATGTGTAAACTACCTATTGATTGGTAAAGTAATTGTTTAACAAAACTAAAGCAAATAACTAATAAATTTATTAGGAAAATGCTTTTTCTTTAAATAAATGGTCAATGTTGTGGCTTGCCAAAGGGTTTATTACCACCACAAATATGAAAATAGAAATATAAAATAAAACTAAAATAGAAAAATCTGTTGACTCTTGTAAATATCATTCAAAATACAGCATATACTTTTTCTTAAAATTTCTGTTTTTACGGTTCATCAAGTTTTATTAACTTAAATTACACAAATATTCAAATATACGGAAAAATGCAACATTTCAAATTTGGAAAACAACATATTGCAACATTGCCGCCAGTTTACACATCATTCTCATCGAAGGGCAATAAAACCGCAGCAAAAATATATTTTTTATAATTTATTCTGACTTCTGCAAACTCTTTATTAGAATATGCAAATTTTGTGGGCAAACAAAGAGCAAATATTTTGTATAATTATACCCGTTACTCGTAGAGTAAAAGGGTATACTAGATTCGTTGAAAAGTATGTAACAGATAGAAGGAAGCTTTTGCGACCCTATAAAGTATATATATTCTTGATCAGGATCAATAGCGAAGTCGATTGAGCCATGTCCGTCTGTCCGTCCGTCCGTCCGTCCGTCCGTCCGTCCGTATGAACGCTGAGATCTCAGGAACTATAGCAGATACAAAGCTGAGATTAGGCATGAAGATTCTTGAGGTCCCGGGACAGCGCAAGTTTATTACAGCATCCTGCCACGCCCACTCTAACGCCCACAAGTCGCAAAAAACTAAAATTGCTGAAATCTCAGGAACTATTGCAGTTAGAAAGTTGAAATTCAAAAAGTATAATCTTTAGATGGCAGCGCATCTTATAGTGGTACTACTATCCGGCCACACCCACCCATACGCCCACAAGGCTCAAAAGACGGTTTTCGGATTTTCTAGAAAAGCTGATATCTCGGTAACTATAAGAGATAGAAAGTTCGGATCAAGCATGTATGTTTCTATAATGCTCCCAATGCGAATTGTTTTTTTTCCAATCACGCCACGCCCACTCGAACGCCCACAAAACCCGAAAAACCAAAAATGCAAAAATCTCAAAAACTATAAAAGCTACACAATTTTGCTTAAGAACACGTATTTAGGAGATGCCTCTGCAACTTGCCACGAAGTTGCATCCGGCCACGCCCACTCTAACGCCCACAAACCGCGGAAAACTGTGGAGTCTACAATATTATTATGAATGCCTTCGTTTGACCTTGTGTAACTTATTTCTGTTAATATCTATCGACTTACAAAAGATTTTTCAAATCGGAACATTATTTCGCTATTTATGAAGAAATTAAGGTTATAAGGCTCCACATGGGCAGTGACGTCACTATAAGCATACTCAACATACTTCCTCTGACAATAGGTGGCGCCTTGTGAATTTCCACTAGCAAAATTAAGATTTTAAAATTGTGTAAAACAGTAACGGGTATCTTATAGTCGCGGCACTCGACTATAGCTTTTCCTCTTGTTTTCAAATGAAAATGTGTGCCATATTTTAAAGAACTTTTGTGGAAAGCAAGAGAAAACTTTGATGAGCAATAAAAAAAAGAATTTGATAAACTTATTTCGGGAATGAAATAAATTTAATATTTAATAAGTCAGTTATTAGGCTATTGTTAAGGATCTCTGACAAATTGCCTTCTCTGTCATCATTGTCTTAGTTAATTATGGGAGTTATAATGTCAATTTTAGTAACTTAATCGATTGATAGAGAACTTTAAAGGTTGCCTGCTAAGTGGTATGCTTAGGTATTAACATTGACTTCCCATTATTCCTCTCAGCTTTCAAAGTTGTCCCAAATCTGATAATCAAAGGCCAAGCATTGTTAACCAGAAAACTCGAACTTGGACAAAAGAGGACCCAATTAAACACTGACTTTGGGGGCACTTGGCCAAGATGGGCAGTGCAAGCACCTCGAGTAAGAGAAAGGGGAAGGTAATTGAATAGTTGTCGCAACAATAGTGCCAAGTTCGTTGAAAGCAAGTTGATTCCATAAATCGCATACAAATAGCCACATGGGAGTATTTGTATCGTTCGAACAAAGCCGCCAAGGCAATGGCAAACAAAAACAGGAAACGAGCTAATTACATTCCCCAAAATGTTTGTTTTTGTGAGTGTGTTTGGGGTATTGAGCAAGGGGAGGTGGAGACAGAAAACAATTTGTTGGCTAAATTATCTGGTAAATTAAGCAATTTCAATTCAACAAACGAAACTGAAGAAGATGTTCTTCTCTTTCGGGAAACCCAAAACCTGCAAATCCTCCAACGATTTGCCTTCAATTTTTTCTTCTAATTCAGAAACACACACACACACACACACTAAGGCCAAACGGGAGAGTGCTTATGTGTGCGTGAGGTGCGGCAAGTGCTGCACAAATCGGTTGCTAAGTAGCTCATAATGGCCAAGCTTGCCCCGAAATGCTCCCATTGGGAGGCCATCTTAAGAGTCCCCCTCCTGTGCCACGACTCGAAAGTGTATGTCCGACTTTCGCTGAAGTTGGCCAAGAAACTGGACCTCTGTTTATGTTCCCCATATAACCTTTTTGAAAAAGAAAAGTATTTTTGAATATTAAAGTCTCTTTATAAACGAAAAGATTGAAAAATCGTTTAAAAAGACACTTTTTATAAATTTTGTAAAATTTTCTCTTTAAAAATATATTAAAATTGATTAATAAATGATATTAATAAGTTAGAATACCCATTAGGATTTTAATTCATTTATATTTTAAGCAAATTATTATTATTTAAATTTAAATTTACAATAATCTTAGTAAGATAAATAATAAACCTCCTACTATTTAATAATTCATTACAAGGCATTCAAAATTCGTTTGTTTGAAAATTTCAAAACACTTCCGGTTTTGTTTTTTATGTCTGAATGTTGCATCTTGGTATTTGGCTTCCTGGATGGACCATAAAAAGGGTTAAAGGTTACCAAATGGCACGCATACCAATGCGGGCTTACAACATGTTGCATGTACACACATACTCGTACATACTGCTGTTCAGGTGAGTGAGTCTGTGTGTGAGAACTTTTGATAAATGCAGATTTTATTGTAATTCGATATCAATTTGTGTGTGCGTATGCAAAGGGCAACCAGGGGCCCCGGCAATCGCTGGGCAATCCTCCAATATTGATATTGATATACAATTTTATGGCAAACATTTAAACTGCCGTCCAAAGGAGCGTATTAAAGTGAAATCAGAAACAGAAGTGTAAAAAAAAAAAAGCCAAACCGTTTACGAAGAGATCCATTTCCCAGAGCTTTTCACTCGGAATACCGGGCCACATTAATCAGGCAACTACGGCGGGCAAATTACATCAGTTTTGTTTGGAAATGTTCCCATTTAATTTAATGAGACATCATTATGCCAAAACTTTAATCTCATCAGCAGAGGTGGCTACAAAAGCATCACAAGCAGCAGCAGCAGCAGCAGCACCAGCAGCAACGCAAAAAATTGTAATTATTGAGACAGCGCTTTTTTCGGTTGCAGACAGCAGGTACACTGGAAGAAAATCGATTAATTAATGTTCATTAAAAATAAAAATAAAACATTAAAAAACACTTTAAAGTTAATTTACAGCTAAATATTAACTTAAAAAGTCCATTTAATACATTTTAATGTAATAAAATTTGTTATCGATAAGTTTATTTTTCCCGATTAATCAAAAATCCGATATATATTTTCATTTATCATTCGACAACAAGGTTACTTACGAATTACTTTACTTAGAGTGTATAAGTCAGTGGGCGGTGGGCGTGTCGGGATGCTGTTAATGATGTTTGGCAACTTCAACTCCAGTCCGCCTACACACACATACACACACCCATGACCACAGGCAGCCGTAGAAGCATACACACGCACACACTCTCCGGCGGAGCACACCTTCAGCATCCAATTAGCGGTAAAGCGAGTTTCAGGATCTCACCCACACATACGTATACGTATGCCTCATCCAACCATTTGGGCATCCCTTTTCCACCGCGCACTCGCACTCTTTCTAACAAGCACTCGAATCGCTCTTTTTTTCACACACGGCAAACGCCGTGTTGTACCCACACATATGTTTTGCCTTTGTGCAGCAGCAAACAAACAAACAAACAAACAACAACAAAAAAGTAGCGTGCAAAAAAATGAAAAATGGCAACACTTTAACTTTTGAACGGCGTTTCACCCACAAAACACCAAGCCACCTCTCTGGATTTCAGCTACCTGCCCTCCTTTCAAATGCGAATTTTTTACCCGAGACTATTTTTGTTTGCCAAGTACACTTGAGGAAAAAGTTTTAGTTTGTTTAGAGTAAATTATTTGAAAAGTAACAAAAGTATTCCGGATTATGATTAACTTGCGTTTTGTAACTAAAAAAAAAACAATTTTTAGAACATAACTTTTCTGATATCACTCATACGCCTTGCTGCAAACAGTATAAAAAATCTATTTTCAATATGAAGATATATAAATTGTTTTCAATGCATTTTGATTTAATTAGTATTTTAAAAATTATGTTGAACTGTCTACACAACCATTAGTGTGCACTTCGCATGTACTATATTTTGTTAAGCTGATAAGGCTTGCCTTATTCTGGGCATTGTTTCATTGCTCATATCATGATAATAACCACAGAACCTAAAAAAGCTTACTTTTCCCAGAATTCGAATAAATTAAATATTTATTCTTTCTAATTTGTTATAAAAAACTTATGACTAAATCAAATTTCCGAAATAAAAAATATGTTCATAAAAATTATTTTAGATTATTTTCTTTCTTTAAGATTATAAAATTATTTTACGTTTCAGATTTTATTGATTTACTAACATTTAAAAACTTATTTACTTCTTTTATTTATAATTATCATTGGATTGGAAATTTGCTGACAAATTCAATGTAGAATTAATCCATTTGGACAGTTTTAGCACATCCGTAAAGATGATGGGTCTTTTATCACCGGGCTTGCGAGTTCCCCAGTTGACAATGCCCACTTGGACATAGGAAGGTGAATATGTAAAAGTTTGACAAACCAAGGGAGCACCACCATCACCATTGCAATCCTTTCCCTCAAAGCCATCGCCACAAAATTGACCGATTGGCAATTCCCTATTAAGTCGAATCTTACATACATCATCACTTAATCGTACAATTTGTATCTTCTTAATAACATCGGGATAGTCATCAGAATTCCATTCAGCTTTGCCCCAGCCGTTGAAGAAACAGGAATATCCGTTATATATAACTTCCGGCGATAGATTCAACTGAATCATCTGGATATTATCTGTCATCGTAAATGCTGATTTTAGAATAAGCATGGCTATATTGTTTACAGCGGTGTACGGGCTAAACCCCTCATGACGGACAATCTTCAAGACCTCAAGATCTACATGTCGCTGATCCGTTGTTGTGGAAATATTCCCTCCGCCAGCGCGCACTAGTAAATCATATTCGGTTGTTTCGTTTAGGATACGGCAGGCTGTGAGGACCACATTGGGTCTGATCAGGGAACCTACTCCTATGTATCGAGTTAACCAATACCGTTGATCCAGCACAGCAACCACCCAGGGATATGACTCACGTAAGTAGTTTTGATTTTGCGCACGTTGCAGCTGATGGCGAATGTTGCATGTACATTAATATAACTTTATATTATTTGTTTAATTTAAGTTTACCTGAAATTTGTACGTCTGTTGAGCATTTGCAAAGCTGCACAGCAAAAGAAATAATATATATGGAGTCATTTCTCGATGAGGTTTCAAAGTAAACTGATGCCGTAGAAAATCATTTTTTAAGTTGAACTTATCAGTATTTAACTCGCTGAACAATTACCAGCGAGTTAAACACTGATACTCACTTATACTCATTTATACGAGTATGTGAGTGGATGGCTTATCAGTATTTATTTATTGGAAACTTAGTCATATATGTTCCTTTGAAATATGTATATGGTCCATATTTCGGCTTATATTAGATTACATTACCGAATTTCAAATACATTTTTTGTCTAGAATCAGATTCAGTTTCTTTTCTCTCAGTGTACTTTTTTTTCCGCCTAAGTGTAACTTTTGCATAATACTCGAAGTTGAATGAAAAAAGAAGTGAAACAAAACAAAGACTAGTTGCATAGTGCATATGTGCGAGGAGTCAACAAGCGTACGGTTGCCGGGATTCAGCAGATTCCAATTAAGTTTTAAATTTTTAGCAGACAAGCTTATGAATGATGACGTTCACTTCGATGGCAGCTCACTTGGCAAATGTCCAAAAAGGTTTTCCCCTTCCCCACATACCTTCTGCAAAAATGTGCTAATCATTTTCATTTGCAACGAAATAGCCGAGCAAATGGTGAATACAAGAAACAAGCATCGCCTTGGTCTCTTGAAATCTCCTCCCTTTCCATTTTCCTTGGCACCTTTCAAGGACTTTTTCCGCATGCATTCCCAAGTAGTTGAACATGGGAGTGCCATTATGGGAAGTAATAAACAAGAAATGGAATAACAAAACTGTTTTGGATAGAATTGCAGATGCCCTTCGTCCTGTGATTAGCATTTATCACTGAGGGCTGCACAAATGCTAATGTTAAAGGGTTACGAATCACACTATTAAAAGTCATATTAAAACTGTGATTCGATAAAACTATTATATAATTATTTAAAATAATATAAATAAATGAAAATACATTTTTAAAGCATTATGTATAGATTAAAAATTTTCATTTCGTTTTTAAGCAAATCTTTGAGATACAAAAGGATCTTTTAGATAAAATAAATATCTTCAGGATTAATACGTATCTTGACGATGACCAATTTAAATCTACGTCAAGTTGGCATCTCCACAAGACTGCCCGCCAAACTGCTCCCCATTTAACAGCTGTTTCCAAAGTTCCATTTTGACAATCGACTGCTTTTCAAAAGCTGCCAATGCTTCTCTGATGGCGCCACCCACACTTTTCTACGCCTGATGCCGAGCAATAACAAAAAGCATACAAATGCTGAAGATGAAACAAAAACAGAAAATAAAGAATACGCATGTATGACCTTCGCACAAGGTGACTGAGGCATAGAGAGAGCGTCAGAGAGAGCGAGGGAGTGAGAGCGAGTGAGAGTAATGAAGAGTGGAGCAAGAAATGCAAAAATGGAGCATAGCTAAAAGTGCAAAAGAGACGGAGAAATGCAGCGGCGAGATAAGAACCGCTGTGTCAGCCACGCACAGTGGAAAGAAATCTCAAAAATATTATTATCTTTCTATTTTTTTAATATAAAATAATTTTTTTTTACTTTACATTAGATATAGGGTTTGAATTAGAAATTTTATATTTTAAAATTGAGAGTTTTTAATCAATAAATCAAGTTTATTTAAAATAATGATGAGCGTTTTTTATAGTTATAAAAAATATAAGCTTTATTTTACTCCTATATCATCTCCTTGTTGAACTTGATTAATGCACTGATAGAGCAATCCAACCACTGTGCATCATGAATTGTTTACAAGAGTGCCTTGTCGGAGAGTAAAAGAACACGAACGGAGAGACAAAAGCTCTTTATGAAAAAGCTATAATACACCAGTATAAAAAGTATATCGAGAGTATAAAGTGAGATTCGCTCCGGATTTTGCTGTGAACGGTCGTCTGTTCAGGTCTGGGTTGTGTCTAGTCTATAGTCTCCGTTTCCTCTTCGCTGTCGCACACGCAAACGGGTCTCCGCCGCACACACGCGCACCCACGCATCGGAATCAGCGAACTATATAGAACTACTGTAGAGAAGGCCTGATCAAAGGGATATAACTAGGACATCATGTCGAAGCCACAATCGGACGCCGATCGGCGCAAGCAAATCTCGGTGCGCGGTATCGCCGAGGTTGGCAATGTCACTGAAGTGAAGAAGAACTTCAATCGGCACCTGCATTACACCCTGGTTAAGGATCGTAATGTGTCCACTTTGAGGGACTACTACTTCGCCTTGGCCAACACCGTCAAGGACAACATGGTTGGCCGTTGGATTCGCACACAGCAGCACTACTATGAGAAGGATCCCAAGGTGAGTTCAATGCCCAGTCAGGCCGCCCAGTTATTGATTTTACTTCATGGAATTTTCCAAAAAAAAAAAAAAAATCTAACCTAACTTTGACATAGTTGAGGACCTTCTATATCTAATTTTTCCTGACTGTAAAACTCCAAAAGTGTTTAAAAATTTCCTTTATATATATTTTTTTCTAAATTTTATTTGCCTATTACGACATTTTTTTCGGCATGCTCCATTCTCTTTTTTTTTTCGCTTCTGATTTATTCCTCAATGCGCTTTGGCCAACAAATTTACAGTGAACACCCTGCTAAATGAAATCCTAAACTTCCTATAAGACAGAATATATATCTCTTATATATATCTAATAAATTCTAAAAACTATAATTATATATGATTAATAGCTACTTGTTGAACTTTTTAAGAGGAGCTTATTTTCATAGAGTATTCCGTGTTCTATATATAATTAGTAATATTTGCACTTACTAGTTCCAAGCCCCATTTTATACCAATATTTAACGCCATAAGGTGTGTTAAAAAAAATTCCGGAAAGTTGAGATTTCTATTTTGTATATATCCAGCATTTACTGTACTTCTGCAATTTCTGCTTTTAATGCATTTCCCACGCTTTCGTTGTTTTGCTACTATATAATTGTTTCGTTTCATTTAATTATCCGCGAAATAGCCAAAAAGCAAAGATGGCAAATGGGATCAATGCCAAGAAATGCGCCAAAAAAAAGGTGTGACACTTTCACTGCAACAAATTGCAAAAGTGCAACAAAAAAAGCCGGCGAATTTTTCAACCACCACCCTTTATTTTCTGCTCCTAATCGAGAATTTCCACCCGCCAGCTGACGGAGCAACAAAAGCCTTAAAATAGCTCAGCATATAGCAGCTGTCGCCGAGCAACTTCTATATCTATGCAAACATATTTATGAGCATTTGAAAAATAAAATCCCTAGGGCCTTGGCTCACTAATTCTCTCGGTGTTTGCCCCAGAAAATGCAGTTTAAGTAAGGCATGTGTGCACTTGCATTTTGCCCCCTTGCAGTATTATCCATCAGATACACAATATAGATATATACATCTTTCAAGCACGTGCCCGAAGCGTGAGCTTTTCGTTAGCAAATTTCGCAGCATCGGCAGCTAAACGTTTTTGTCCTTGCTGAATGTCAGCTTAAATCACTTTCAATTTCTGTCCCATAAGCTTACCCAAAAAATGTATCTATTAATTTTCCATTGACTTCGACCGCTAGAAGTTCAAGCTATATACATATTTGGGTGATAAATATTTCCAATTTAACTAAATTGTGGAAACTGCCGTCATAACGACACACATATTTTCAAGGTCAATCAAAGGTTATTAACAACAACCAACTGACAAAAATATCAAGGAAAATTTCCCTCATTTTTATTTTTTTTTTTCTCTCTTTGAGTTTTTATTTTGGCTACAATTTCGTTTGCTATTCGTTCTCATATATATCTATATATATATATCCACCTAAATATATTTTCTTTTCGTTCAGGTTGTGGAACTTTTATAGGCCCGATTGTGTTTAGTTGTCCCCTCACATGCAATTAGCTCACGCAACCATCTGAACATAAAGAGAAATACATATAGCTAGTTGAAGATTGTATCTGTTGGATACTTGAAACAGCTGTTATTATGCGTATCGCAGTACTTAGAGTTAATTGACGACTACTTGTCGCCCATTGGATTCTGTGACAATTTATGCAAATTGAAGAAAGTTCAGCAGGGTGGATAGCCTCATAAGAAGAGTTTATTATTATTGTTCCCCTGTAGTTTTCCACGAGTCAGACTGACCCAATCAAAAATATTGCCACACTTATCACCCACATGGAAAGCCAATTAATAGCTTTCCAGCTATCAGGGATAAACGAATGTTCAATGCCAGGGTAAAAAGACTATCACATTTCCAACTTCCTATCCACATCTGTTGTAAATTTATTGCATATAGGTAGGAAAAAAGAAGAAATAAACAACAAATGCAAACAAATACCGGTCATTTGTTGTTGAGGTGTTCTTTATCAAAGCCGCAAAAAAACAAATGTCTGGGCTCTAATTCGAATATAGACCTGGCCAGAACGAATAGAAAAGACCCTGCATAACGCGAACAGCTGTGAATAATGTCACCACCGGCAGTTGAATGACTTCAAAAGCTTTTTATGAATCTAAGAGATTACTCACGGTTTGTTGTGGAGCTCCATGTTTTTTGATTAGATAAGCTAAATAGGTTATTCGCATTTTATTTTGGGTACAGAGGAAAGGTCATGCTTAGAATCGATTTTGATATTCGGTAATCCAGTTTTGATTATCTTGATTTTTTCAAAATTCTTATCGTTGTAGTCCGTTTGAAGATTAATAACATACTTTTTTTCCGAAAAATTTATAAGGAATTGTACTTTAATACTTCAATTTTATATAAATAAATCAATTAAAGAAAATAAATGTAATACTTTAATATTTATTCCTTAACACATCTCAGTATAGTTATTAGATCATATATGATTGCAATAAGTGTTGCCCTTTCGTTATCAACTTCTTGGAAATATCTTGATATTATGTTTACATAATCTCATGATCAAACTACACCTTATTTCATAAGAATATTATTGGTCACAAGATTTCTAATATGTCAGACTATATGGTAATGTTTCCCTTGACTTTTATTAACTATGACTAATACTAACTTTTTATCAAAACAATGTTCTTTCCACAAACAACACATCTTGTCAAAATCAGTTCATATTTTCCCTATTACCACCTAACAGTATACATATATCTTATCTGGTAAATAGGTTTGCAAAATATTCCTAATCGAAAATCCCCGGATTCCATATAGGCGCCTTAACCCCTTTCACCTACAAATATGCACACAGAAACACGCTCGCCAAACATTCCGCACTAATTGGCTATAGTTTTTTTTTTTTTTTTTTTTTGTTAATATTATTTTGCCGGATCATATAGCATCAGACATCTGAAATCAGCATGCGCCAGAGGTATGCGTTTTAGGGCATAGATTACATAGGTGGACTGATAAGGAATGGGATTAGCATACCATGGGAGCCATTAGCTATTAACTGGCGACACTGTCAGCGATGTTGTGTCGTCAATGGTGATTGGTGATCCGTGATCGATCGATGATGATTAGCATTAGACCAGCATTGGGACAGTGATAATGATCCCGATTCCGAGTTATATAGATTCATGCTTTGCCATGATGATGTTTGCCCAGCATGCAAAGTGCAGCCTGCAATCTATTGATAACTGTTGCTTGTTGCTATTAACACAATAAATGCCCTCGTAACATCGATCGATTGATTTCAACTGAATCGAACCGGTGATTGTGAATGCCTTCCTCTATTTATAGTTTTCCAGTTGGGTTGCCCTGAAATTACCGGTCGATTTTTAAGCTGATAAGGTATTATTCAGTTGGGAACCGTGAAATGGAAAAATGGGTGACCTTCTGGCCAAACATAACTAGGTCTTTAAGGCATAGGCGGCGCCATCCTTATCAGCCTTTAGTTGCAAATATGCACTGTACAGTTGAGCCTGAAATGTTGAGACCTTGCACTTGGCTGATCATTACGGAAATTCACGACCAAAACTGGTTTCCAATGAGCTTATTAATCCCACTCTCTTAAACTCTACGATTAATGCTCTTCAATGCTGTTTTATACTCTTTAATCTGTTAATAGTATGTGTTTTTAACTTTACCAAGAAGTAACTTAATTAAGTCTATTCCTTACCTACAACTATACTTTTATGATAAGAAACGAAATTATAAACCAACTATTTAACGAAACCAACCTTTTAACTTTTTAGCGCGTCTACTACCTGTCGCTGGAGTACTACATGGGTCGCTCTCTGACCAACACCATGATCAACTTGGGAATCCAGAGTGAGTGCGAGGAGGCTATGTACCAGCTGGGTCTGGACATTGAGAATCTGGAGGAGATGGAAGAGGATGCCGGTCTGGGCAATGGTGGTCTGGGTCGCTTGGCCGCTTGTTTCCTGGATTCGATGGCCACTCTGGGTCTGGCCGCATATGGCTATGGTATCCGTTATGAGTACGGTATCTTCGCCCAGAAGATCAAGAACGGTGAGCAGGTTGAGGAGCCTGATGACTGGCTGCGTTATGGCAACCCATGGGAGAAGGCCCGTCCGGAGTTCATGCTGCCGATTAACTTCTACGGTCGTGTGATCGACACGCCCGAGGGTAAGAAGTGGGTGGACACCCAGAAGGTGTTTGCCATGCCCTACGACAATCCCATTCCCGGATACAACAACAACCATGTGAACACTCTGCGTCTGTGGTCCGCCAAGTCGCCCATCGACTTCAACCTGAAGTTCTGTAAGTCTCTAATGGAATATTTTCCCATAAGAAAAGCTAGAATTAATATATCTGTATCTATCCTTTTCCAGTTAACGATGGTGACTACATTCAGGCCGTGCTTGACCGTAATCTGGCTGAGAACATCTCCCGTGTGCTGTACCCCAACGACAACTTCTTTGAGGGCAAGGAGCTGCGTCTGAAGCAGGAGTACTTCATGTGCGCTGCTACTCTCCAGGATATCATTCGCCGTTACAAGGCCTCGAAGTTCGGATCCCGGGAGGCGGTGCGCAACACCTTCGATCACTTCCCCGATAAGGTTGCCATCCAGCTGAACGATACTCATCCATCGCTGGCCATCCCTGAGCTGATGCGCATTTTGGTTGATGAGGAGCACCTGACCTGGGAGAAGGCATGGGAAATCACCGTGAAGAGCTGTGCCTACACCAACCACACTGTGCTGCCTGAGGCCTTGGAGCGCTGGCCCGTGTCCCTGCTGGAGTCGATCCTGCCACGTCATCTGCAGATCATCTACCACATCAATTTCCTGCACATGGAGAATGTGAAGAAGAAGTTCCCTGACGATCTGGACCGCATGCGTCGCATGTCGATGGTGGAGGAGGATGGCGAGAAGCGCATCAACATGGCCCATCTTTCCATTGTGGGTTCCCATGCCGTCAACGGTGTGGCTGCCATCCACTCCCAGATCCTGAAGGACTCTCTGTTCCACGACTTCTACGAAATGGAGCCCCAGAAGTTCCAGAACAAGACGAACGGTATCACCCCGCGTCGTTGGTTGCTGCTCTGCAACCCTGGACTTTCCGATCTGATTGCCGAGAAGATCGGTGACGAGTGGCCAGTGCATCTAGACCAACTGGTTGCTCTGAAGAAGTGGGCCAAGGACCCCAACTTCCAGCGCAATGTGGCCCGTGTCAAGCAGGAGAACAAGCTTAAGTTGGCCGCCATTTTGGAGAAGGACTACGGTGTGAAGGTCAACCCTTCGTCCATGTTCGACATCCAGGTTAAGCGTATCCACGAGTACAAGCGTCAGCTGCTGAACTGCCTGCACATCATTACCCTGTACAACAGGATCAAGAAGGATCCCACAGCCAACTTCACCCCGAGGACAATCATGATCGGAGGAAAGGCTGCTCCTGGCTACTATGTGGCCAAGCAGATCATTAAGCTCATCTGCGCCGTGGGCAATGTGGTGAACAACGATCCCATTGTGGGCGATAAGCTGAAGGTTATCTTCTTGGAGAACTACCGTGTCACCCTGGCTGAAAAGATCATGCCCGCTGCTGATCTGTCCGAACAGATCTCTACCGCTGGCACAGAGGCCTCTGGTACCGGTAACATGAAGTTCCAGCTGAACGGTGCCCTCACCATCGGCACTCTGGACGGTGCCAACGTGGAGATGGCCGAGGAGATGGGTCTGGACAACATCTTCATCTTCGGTATGACCGTCGAAGAGGTGGAGGCACTCAAGAAGAAGGGTTACAATGCCTACGACTACTACAACACCAACCCCGAGGTCAAGCAAGTGATCGACCAGATCCAGGGCGGTTTCTTCAGCCCCGGCAATCCCAACGAATTCAAGAACATTGCCGACATTCTGCTCAAGTATGACCACTACTACCTGCTGGCCGATTACGAAGCATACATCAAGGCCCAGGATCTGGTGTCCAAGACCTACCAGGTGAGATTTCGAAGAATTTAATGAAGGGGGAAAACGTTAATGGTTTAAAAGACTTTTACTTTTTAATTTTTGTTTCTAAAACAACTTTTCTATCTATTATTTTCCAGAACCAAGCCAAGTGGCTGGAGATGTCCATCAACAACATTGCGTCCAGCGGCAAGTTCTCGTCGGATCGCACCATCGCCGAGTACGCTCGCGAGATTTGGGGCGTGGAACCCACATGGGAGAAGCTGCCAGCGCCGGAGGATCAGCCACAGAACTAAATCAATTTTTGATATTATTTTATTATTTATGTGCTTTACTTTTGTTAAAGTCAAAGTCCAATTTTAGGCGCCAAAAGCAACAACTAAAACTAACCAAGTAAACACGGGCCACAGTCCCGAATTGTTAATATTTTATTTAATAAAAATCCAAGATAAACAATTCAACTAGTTATCTCATCTCTGTGGAAACGAATCAACAACACCAACAACGGTACCTACCTAAAAAAAGACCTCAGGAACACTTTCAAAGTAACAAAAAAAGAAGGAATTAAAAAAACTTTAAAAAATGGAAAGAATTATAATAAACGTTAGTGGCAAGCTTGTTTAGATATCGGATATGCGTGTTTTAAATCGAGATTAAACCTCAAGTTCAACTGTTAAATGTAAAAATTAATATAAATTGAATAAACTTTGATTCGAAATAGAAAACTGTGGCATTTTCTGTGGTTCTAATGGTAGCTAACGAGTAAAAGTGGAAGAGAATATGTTTATCTTATTGGAAATATACAACTTTATTATTCACACAAAATTTAAATTTAAACAAATTCTGAATATGTATTTGGGGAATGAACACTTTTTAAAATAAAGTCCCATTAAAAGAACACAAGAGTTTAGTAATTTTTACAATGTAATTGTTGTTGGATTTTTCTCTTTTTAAAATAGTCACTAAAAAATTGTAAATATTTCAAAATTATTTTCGCTCACAATCATTGCTTCTAATGGATAAGCCATTCAAAAATTCTTTAAAAATTAAACAAAATGCTCTTCATAATGCACAGAACGGGGGAGCAAAATCCCCGTTTGTATTCAGTAGTTAACTCTGGAGGATCGAGTCGACTTGCTGATGTACTGTCGCTCCTCGCCACGCGATCCGCTGGCACCACTTCGTTCTCTATCGAATTTTTCATGTGAACGTTCCCGCGGTGACTTCTCCTGCGGAAGAAGATATATCTTGGTTAATAAAAAGTTTCAAAAGGTAAGCAGGTTGTAAACGATGCAAACATGATCCTTGCAACAGCAGCACCGTTCACATCCAACTTAAAGATACCACACTCACTCTGTGACGTTCTCCTCTATCCCGTATTTCTTCTTCACCATTTTGTGCTGAAATTCGTTTTTCGGTTTTGAATGTCTTGATTATCCGATAAAAAAATCTTCTCTCACCTTCGCGCCGTCGCTTATGTTCATTGCTATTGGACTCCTCGGTTCGATCGCGTTTTCGGCCCAGCTTGCGATCCTTGCGAGCATCTCTCTCTTCATCCGACAGTTTGTCCTTGTTGCGCTCTTTGGTCTTGAGGCCTCGCGCCTTCTTCACGCTGTCCACCAGTTCCTCCACCTTCTGCAACGGTATAGGGTTAATGGTTGTAAAAACATATTCAAATTCTTGCTTCCTCTACAACTTTAATTACTTAAAACTGTAAAAATAACCCAAGAAGGTACATCTGTATTGTTGTTCGCCTAAGTCTCTTTTGTTATTCTATGCCTATTATAGCCGTCGTCCCCACCACGCGCCCATCACTTACCCGTGGGCAGTCTCAACATCAACGAATTAACAACTAAACTGGGCTGCACAGGTAACTGGTAATCAGAGTCAGGGCGCTGAGTAGGTTTTCCATTCGGATTCCTCCATGAGCTTGATGATTTCCAAATAGCCAGTGACGGATCGACATCATATATTCCATAAAGTATATCATTGCTTCTGTATACGGTAGTATTTGTAGGCAGTAGTATCCACTTTGTTTAACTTTGTTTACAGTTGTCGATCAGAATAATGTTCCATATATATATTACTCGAATTGAAGAAGTTATCCAATTTATTTTTGTTGGCATTGTAGTTTGTTTAATGAAGTTGGATCCAGTTGCAGTATAGACGTTATTTATTGTAGATGTTGATGTTCTTCGCGCTCCATAGAGTAGCATTTGTTTAAGTTTGATTTTTTATCCATCTTTCTTTGAGCTTGTTGATGCTCATTTGTGTCATTCATTTTGACATTCATCAAGAACGTTTTAAATAGTTTCCATTTTAAAAAGTTTGTTGGTATACTTTTACAAAAAATTGAAGACTTAAGTTATGATGAATTGCGGGTTCAGTTTTTGATGATTTAAATTGTAGAATTGTTTTTATAATTTGGTTTTTGTAGATTCAGTGTCAATATCCAGAAATGATTTCTTCGATGTTTTATTCTTCCTTTTAACTTAAGACGGTTTTTTAAAAAATCCTGAATTTTGAGTTGGTCATCCATTTGCTCCTTTATTTTTCCTTAATAATTGGTCCTCTGCGCTTCCAGCGAGATTCGTCTCTTCATTTTCGATTGTCGCCTTCGTGGTCCCAATACTCCAATTTGGTAAATTATTTACACAACTACACTTAAACTACTACAATTAATTAACAAAGTTGATTATAAAAAAAATTCCCTTTGGAAAACAATGATCCTGTCACATTTGTCTAAAAAGTTTAACTTTTTCTTATAACTTAGCTTAAAACTAACACCCAGAAATGAACTACAGCTTATACTTAGAACTAAGGAACATTTTTAGCATAGAACGAAGGCCACCGCATCATCTACACCAAGCATCAGTTTTTTATGTTTCGATATTTTTATAGGTGGTGGGCTCGTTGTTGAGATGTTGATTTTGGAGTCGCAGTTTGAAGTAGACGTTGATGTGTTGCAAATTGGTATACTTTTCGCATGCTCGATAAGAACTTCGTGTATTTTCCCTCCAGATGCAATCGTCATCGTAGTGTTGTTTTATATTGTTGTTGTCTTAGCGTACTTATGACTGCAACCATTTGGTACTAACCTTTGAACTGCTGGTTGACGACTCCACTTTGCGACGCTTTGAATCTACTAAAACGAAAGGTTAGATATTTAATTTCCACTTTAGGGTGGATCAATTTACCTTTTTCGTATTCAATGGTTTCATGGCTACGTTGCCGATGCTGCATTGAACCGTTGCTTTCGTTCGACACGGAACTTAGATCTCTCATTCGTCCCTCAAACTCCTCGTAGTGACGGTTGTCGGTGCTGCCCACTAGATCCACCGTTTCGACTCCATCTCCATGCCGATGTCGCTCTTCACCACCGCGTCGGGAAGACTTCTCGCGCTTTCCGCTGTTGCGCTTCCAATTCTTCCAGACGCTGCGAACGTTCCCGCGACCGCTGATGCTGTTCGGCTTCTGTTCGCTCCTTAACCCTCACAATTTCCCTAGAACCGCGATGGCTAGTAATGCTTCCGTGACGCTGCTCGTGCTGATCCTGTCTGTCTCGCTCCACATCGCGACTGCGGCTTTCACTCTGTCTGCTGCCATTACTACCATTGTTTGTGTTCTCCAATTGTTCATCCTTGCTGCGGGATTGGGATTCCCGTGGCGCTGGCAAATCACGTTGCTTACTCTCACGATCGTTATTGGAGGCCGTTGAGGAGGATGTGGACACCAAAGTGACGTTGTTGCCCTCACTTTTCTGGCTCTTTGATTCCCGCAGGAGAGAAGCTATAAATGAGTTTATGGTTAAGAAGGTACCTTAAACATATAAAATGAGTTCTACGCACCTGCTTTAGCCTCTGGCTCCTTGGTTCCCGACTTTTGTTCGGTGTTGTAGAAAGGCGCGGCACCGCTGTTGGCCTTGGCACCTTGTGCCTGTGCAGAAGGTGAAATAGGCGACATTTTTTCCGCTTTAACGGCACCGCCAGATGCAGCAGCACTATTTCGGCGACTCCTTTGTTTGGCCGCTCGGCCATCTGGTGAAAGTCGCTCTCTTTGAGCATGTGAGGGGTCTTTAGCTTTAGCTGACCAATGTAGCTGGAGGCAATGGCATACAGATCTGGTCGCTTTGTCTTCTCTTCCTCGCGCACCTTGTCAACTTTACGTTCGATGATTTGCGCAAGCTTCGCAAGAACCGGATAGTGAGGAAGGATGCGCATCAGGATGATCAATGCATTACGAATCTGCATGAAGTCCTTCGAGTCCAAGCAAAAAACGATGGCCTTAGTGATCTTGTAGTGCCATTTATGGCATACATGTCGGTAGTTTTCGTACCCAACGTGATCGTTGGCCTCTGAGAACTGATTGCTCACTCGAAACTTGGTGACGAAACCAGGATAGTTGGCGCATTCCTTGTTAAACACCGCCTGATCCGCATGCCAACGCATAACGGTCTCTAGCATGGCGCACAAGAAACGGCCGTATCGCGTGGCCTCGCCCTCCGTGCACGAAGTCACCGAGTAAGTGATGTCACAGAAGATCTTAAAAGGGAAATACAGAGAGTAAGTTTATTTTAAAATATAAATATTTGGTACTATTTACCCGATCGTAACACAACAACGTTGAGAAGTTCGATGTCTTGAGGTTGTGTATGGCGTGCACGAATTTGGCACAATACAGCGCATCAAGAGCTGTGAAAGTGCATCGCGGGAAAAGGCAGAGTTGAAGGAACTGCGTGATTGTATCGTTTTTGGCCGACTTGGCGGATCGCAGTAGGAACCAACTATCCTTTTGCTCTTGCAGTCGCTGCGAGATCTTATCCACGTGCTCGTGCTGTTTCTTACGTTCGTCGTTCAACTTCTCCATTAATGCAATGTACCGCTCTTGCTCCTTCTTGTTTTTTGACTGGTTCGAGTCCTTGCCCTCGGCTGCCTGCTGGGCCAGCTGTTTGAGTTTGCCGATTTCGCGCTGATAGCTTTCATTCGGAACGTGCAGATCGTACATGCTGAGACTCCAAAATGTTACCAGAAACTGAGGACTAATGTCCTCCCACACCTTGGCACTGTGCAGTGGTCGAACAGACTCCACAATCGGGTTCATAATCAACTGCGTGGCTTCCAAGTACTTTTGAAGCTTTTGAGTTGTGGTCAGCTTCTTGGCGTTTGGATCAGCCTTGCGCAGTTGGTCATATTTTTGCTATAAGGGAAAGAGGTGAATAATAATATTCCTCAGACAAAGTTTTCAGGCTTACATTGATTTGATGAGTAAACATGGGCCTGGCCAGGAAAAAGGCCACATCGGTATTTATGTGGTACTCCCGCAGCATAGTAATAATCGAGGGCAACCGCTCTACATACTCGTCAACCGAATAGGTTGACCCTAGGAAGGTGCCAAACTGGACGAGGGTATCCTGACACTGATCATACAGATTTCCCACGAGCTTCAAATGACTGTGCGCAGCTGTCTCGCGGTAGATGACGCAGTGCTTCTGTTGGGCCATTAGCAGGCAAATGGCCACGGCGAGATCATTGTTGGCCAAGGCCTCCTTTAGGCGATTAGAGGACTTTTTCGTATTCCGCACTTGACTAAAATAGCCAGCCTAAAAAGGAAAGAGATTTAATAAAAGTATTTGTTTAGAAATTATTTATAAGTTGATTTATATAATTACCTCTCCCCTGAGTTGTTCTCCACCGCACATAGCCTGGAGCTGATCATTGGTCATCTCTTCACACGACTCCACGCCCAGCCATCTTGTGGACGATTTCTCGCAAAATAAGTAAGTCCAGAGACTTCTGGGATTTTAGTTGATTTGCCACATATTGCAGCAAGCCACTAAGCTCAATGCTGTACTTCTTATAAATGGTGCCGCAGAAGGATGCTAAGGCTTTGCAACCACAATGATAGGGACGTGCCATCATCCTTGAATCTCAGACGACCAGTTAAGGTTAGGGACTCTATAATGCAGTATCCCAGACAGTCAAAGGAAAGGGCAGTAAGATACTTGAGCATATCGCAGACAGGACCAATGAGATTGTCATAGATTTGAATTTGCAAGAGAATCTACAAATATATTTAAGAAAATTATGGAAATGAGCACTTGGAAAATAATATATAACAAACTTACATAGTCAAACAGAAGCCCTGGTGCACAGTGGCTGTACTTGCCCACCAGGCGACCAAGTTGTTTAACATTCTCCTTGCTCACACGCTTCATTAGCGCCTTGATATCCCGCTGAGCCAAGCCACAACGCCTGATTAAATTGGGATGTATCTGGTAGCTGTCGTTCTTCCAACGCGCATACAAACTATAGCGGAAATGGTACGGGAAATACTTTAGCACAGCCCAGATTTCCTCGGACATTGAGCAGTTATTGTCCAGATAAAGAAGTGAGGGCAATATGCAGGCATCTAGAGAGGTCATAATGTCATAGTAGTGCTGCTCCGCCTCTGAATTTGGAGGCGGTCCGTTTAAGCTATCCACTCCCATCTCTACAACTAGTTTTCGCATGATGCGAATTAGCTTGTACATCAGCACAGTGTCGTAGTGCATGGCAGGTCCCAGGACGTTTGCCATCGGCCAGGTGTACTTTCTTAAATCCCCAAATTCTTTTGCCTGCATCTTGGCTAACAGCTTGGAATCGTCGTACAAGCGATTTCGGCTCTGTTTTCGTCCAGCGGGAGCTTTGAAGCATTTCTTATAGTAGATATTTTCTATGGACAAGTGAATCAAATCGGCAATGGCACGGGCAATAGGTTCTTGAAGTACCACCGCCTGTTCGGGAAGCTTCTGGATGATCTTATAGGCATTTTCCCAGTCACCCACTTTAAGTAGAGCTTCGCAGAGACCAAACTTTTGGTTGACACAGTATTTTTCCTGATAAATAAACTATTAATGTTAATATATACTATTTCAAAAATTTGAAGAACTTACCTCATTAAATTTCTTGACCGAGGGTGGCGGTGGCGGATCCTTCTCATCTTCCTTCTTGTTGGTTTGAATAAGGTTCAGCTTCCGCACCATTTCTTTTGCATCCGCCAGTTCCTCCTCCCAGTCCGCCTTAATGCTACTATCGTTTGGAGTTAACCACACATAAACATCGTTTAGCTCGATGACGCCGTGCTTAAGCAAAAGTGCACAAACATGATATAAAGACCGAGGCGTACGGGAGTCTTTAAAGTGACAGAACTTATAACCAAGGACTTCGCAGATTATGGCACCGGTAGGCATGTAGCTGCGCAGCAAAGGAATGAACAAATTCCAGCGATCCGGTCGAGACTCAAAGGACTCGATAATAATGTCCAGCACTCGATTTGGATCCAAATTAAAGCAGCCTATAAAAAGATTTCATTAGGTTCAAACAATAGCTAATTAAAGTATGCCACCAAACATAACATCTAATATAACTTGTTTTTAGGGAAAAATATTACCTATTAATGATTTTATGATGTCCATAATGCTCTCCGGCGTGGTGCTTTCATCAAATTCCTGATTCAATTCTGTAATAAGCTTGGCAAAGCCCTCGCTCTCCTCACGGAAGAGATTAAAGCGGCGCTGTTTGTAGCTTTAAAATACATTAAAAATTACGTATTTTATGAATCGAAAACTAGCTTTAAAATACATACTACAACTTGGTTTTGACCTTGATGAATTTGGAATAGAAGCTCTTGTTTTTGACAATTCCGGCCTCCTGTAACGTATCGATTTCCAATCGCTCCTTTAGCAGACTTTCTGAAACCACCTTGTCCATGTCCTTGACCAATTGCACGAAGGCATGTCGCTCCTCTTGAAGACCATCGGTAATAAGTGATGTTTCACTGTCCAGAATGTTGACTACGTCCACTATAAGGCTGGGAAACTCCGCGTGGAGGGCCTAAGAAAAAAATACATTAACATTTAATATTTGTTTATCTTTTACAAATTTTACGTTTTTTAGTTGATACATAAATATAATAAATCAAAAAAAAAAAGAATAAGTACGGAAGTAGGAAGCCATACAAATTTACCACACTTACCACGACTTCCAGGAGCAGATGAAGCACCAGATCTTTTTTGTGAGTGAAGCGCAGGGCTTGCCAGAGGAGCTGGTAGATGGCATTGGAGATGCCCTGCTTAAAGACGCCGTTCTGGTCGTAAACGGGAGTATCTGCCGCATCCGGTAGCTGTTGCTTGAGGTACTTCAGGCTAGAAGTAAACGTTTAATTTAGCTAGGGGTATCGAGGAACAGTGGGTCCAAACAGTCGACACAAGAGCGCGCGTATATCCAGCAGCAGGACACAAACTTGTGGCAGCCACTGTACTGCGAATGTGTGTGCGCGTGTGCCTTATATCTCTACGTTTGTATCGGTGTCTGAGCGTGGAACCACACACGTACAATTCGCTCCGTCCGGATTTGTCTAAATGCTTGAAGACGTCCTGATTGAGTGAGCCTGGTTCCTTTCCGGCGGATCCACTGGCGGTTGCGCCATTTGTGTCCATCGACTCCGATGTCCGGTTTTCGGTCGCCGCTCCATCCCCACCACCATCCGCGGTTCCTGTAACGCTCTTCAGCTTTTTGAGCCGCCGCACCCGTTCTGTGGATCTCTGCATCCTCGGATCAGATGGTATACGCGGGCGCTTTGCTGCGGGGGCTGATATCTGCTCCCGAATCGATCAAATCTCTATACTTGTCGAAATATTTGACAAATTTTCACACTTTGGTTGAAGCAGTGCCACCAGTGTGACCCTTTTGCGTGCCAACTAAAAAGTTAAGCGGTGAAACAAAAATGTTCTATTTCGAGGTGACTATTTTTTGGGACGTATGAAATGAAACATTACATTAAAACTGTACTTTTTAAATGGTTTCACACGTTCCTCTCAAATTTTGAAGCGTTAAAAACTATTTATTTTATGATAATTTCTAATATGAGATTATTTTTTTTATTTGTTTTCTCTATAACTGGAGAATAATAAGCCCTTTAATTACTAATATTAATCTTATGTAAATAGTTTCATTCCCTGTGTTTCGTTGAAATCTCACTTATCAAACAACGTCTCAAATTATACACCCTTTTATTGATTTGTATGCGCATCTAATTTGGGAATCTCTTGAAAATGCAATCTAAGATCTAACCAAATTCAGGGATTACACAGATGCAAATTAGCTTTCTCGCCAGACTGCGTGGATGCTGCCACGTTTTTAATGATTTAAAAAAGGGGTATCAGATGAAAAGTACTTACATATATGTACATGTATGTACATATGCCCTTGACGACCTATAATTACATAGCTATATCACGCGCAGATAAATATAGAGATCAACGGTCAGGCGTCAATATCTTAATAAAACACCAGATAGATTGAATGAAAATATTTATGTATTTAATTTGTGTTTGCATTATTGATTGCTAAATAGCCGACCACAACTGCTAGATCTAGAGCATTAACGGATTGAAAAAATTGTATCTCAAAGCGCTTGTGGAAAATCTTATGCTAGGAATTCCAGGTCATACTCTTATTTGAGTACAGTCTTTTATACTATTCTTAACAATACAAAATCAAGATAAAAATTCTTGTGGGAAAATAATTTTGAACATAACATTTGAAGGTAAAATCATAATAAAAGTAAATTTGGATGATTGCTAGAGGTATAAAGCTGAAAATCCCAATTCTTAAAGCAAGGGTTCATTTTCAATTTTGACATCACACTCAATTATGCAGCTATCCACATAGTCGTAAGATTTGGGTGATGGGGGACTACAGTTTTGAAGAATGGAATTGGAAAGATAGTTCTGAGAGTTCTCCAATTGAGCGGCAAAACTCGAATCCGGAGCGGGTGTCAGTTTTGGCAGGCCTGTTCCTACTGGTTTGGGTCCCGTTCCTGTAAGCATCTGTTGATCCTCTTTTCTGAGTTCAACCAAAATTCGAGCCATTTCCATGCGAAACTTTAGAGTACTGATAGGTGACAACGACTTCACGTGCGGCACCATACTCATCAAAAAGTTAACGTCCGAATCGTTCTTTAGATCGGCAGATTTTGGCAAAGTCTTGCTGGCGTGGCCATTCAAAATATGGCCATCAGACGAGGGTGAAGTCTTTCTGCGGCGTGCCCTTTTTGACGGCGGCGGAGGTCGTGGCACGAATGGACTAGCATGCATCAGTGGAACGGGAGATAGCATTGTCGGCGACAGATCCTGATCGGATCGTTGGGCAACTGAGGATGAAGAATCAGCCGGTTTGATGAGAGAACCACCATCCGACCCCGAGTCTTGTGGCATCGACGGTTCCCGCTTGAATATGTCACCAATTATCTCAAAGTCAACGGAGTCATCATTGTCCAGATCCACATCAATGACAAAGTCCATAAGCCGAGTGGATTCAAAGTCCTCTTGTTCGGTTTCCAAATCGAATTCCTCCGGCGGAAAGGGTACCAGGCGTTCCGGATCGAAGATGTTGCGCATGAACTCCAGGGAACGAAAGTAGGTCCAGTGAGACGTTTCGATCCGTTTCTGTTGGATCTTACGAATCTCGGCCCTGTAGCTGTCCCGCAATCCCTTGAAACGCTTCTTGCAGGTCGTGACTGCGTTAAAAAAAAACAAATACATTTAATATTAGGTCTTTGCGCGAACAATCACTTTATTGTCAGGTACTCACTATCCTCCTGCAAAATCCGCGCCACACTTCCCCATTGAACCGGTGATTCCTGATTGCGATAGGACATGGACATATTGGTGTCCCACAAGCATCGTCGCTTGGCAACCTCCGCTATGAGTCGAAAGTTTTCGGATTTCATGATAAACTGGTCCAAAAATGGAAGTTTATCAATAATTGTAGTGCAAGTTCTGGACTCTGCACTTTCACAGCGATTTTCTTTCACTCACGCGCTCACAGCAAACTCGACGAATGTGTGAGCGGTTAATTGATAAAAAATTTGTTTCAAATCCCAAAAAACCTTTATTTCCCTGCTACGTTTCGAGGATAATAGGCGGAATATAAAATTTTGGGTGGCGATGAAATCTCCCGACACTACGCTTAACTTAACTGGGCAACTCTGGCCTAACAGCTGATGTGGTGTTACTATTCCGTAAGAAAAACGGGCACACTTCGTTTGGCAACTAAACAAATGATTCACAAACGGAATCGCTTTTTTGCCGGCTGTGGGTTTGAAACTTAATTAAATAGTTATACAGACATGTCGAATCCTGCTGAAGAGTGCAAGGACGAGGATCTGCCCGCAAATACGCTGGAGCATTTCACCGAACTGCAGCAAGTGCTGGAGATGATTGAAAACATCAAATCTATTGCAGCTGGTACCTTTGAAAGGGAGTTTGAGCAATACGCCCAGGTTTTGTCCAGATATCAAGAGCAGCCGCATCTGCTGGATCCACACTTGGAGGAGTTGTTGGGTAAACTTTTGCAGAAGATTCGTAGGCAGGACCTGGACACCGGAGAACGACATGCTGCTTTCAAGTATCTTTATATTATCTGCAAAGTTCGTACATATAAGGTCCTTGTCAAGTTTATGCCCCATGAACTGAGCGATCTAGAGTTTGCCCTTGATCTATTGGGTCAGCAGGACCCAAAAGAGTTTGAACAGTGGGAAACACGTTATATATTACTCCTATGGATGTCCATCCTGGTCTTGAATCCCTTTCATATGTCGAGACTGGATGCCTATGAAACAGCTCCTAGTCCCACCACTACCAATTGCACTCTTATCAACCATGTCCAGACTAAAAGCTCCAAGATGGAACGCATCTTCGAGCTGATCCAGGTTTATGTGTCCACCAATGACACATGCAGCAGCATGGCTGCTTATTTGGCTGCTAAGTATTTCGTTCGCAGCGACATCAAGGATCTGTATCTGGAGAGATTCTTGGACTGGATAATGGAGCAGCATCGAGCGGATACAGTGAACGTCAAATTCGGTCAGCTGGCTGCAGTCGCTGCTATTTTAAAGCACGGCAAGCGCGAGGATCTTTTGCCCTACGCAGACAAGCTGCTTCAGTGGATTACCTCCTGTCAGTACAAGGACGGCAATGACTTTCTGAAGTACAAGAACTATATTAAAATTATACAGAGGATCGGATTGGTGCATCTAAAGCCTCGTATTGCCAGCTGGCGGTACAAAAGAGGTAAGTTTGGGTAATTCATATGGATAATGAAGAAAAATAAAAATACTTTTCATTTAGGTACTCGCTCATTGGCCACAAATCTTAGCCACGCATCTGGAGCAAGAGGCGAATCGGCTGCTTTAGAAGTATCACCAGAAGAAGGAGAGGAGATTCTTGTACCCGATGCTATCGAAGAGGTGATTGAGGAGCTGCTGCAAGCTCTACGAAGCGGTGGAAATGATATACGCTGGAGTGCAGCCAAAGGATTGGGCAGAGTCACCAATCGCCTGCCAAAAGACCTGGCTGATGAAGTTATAGGCTCTGTAATTGATATACTTAACCCACTAGAACCCCACGAGGCTTGGCATGGTGCGTGTTTGGCCTTGGCGGAACTGGCTAAAAGGGGATTGCTGTTGCCTCATCGATTGGAGGAGCTGGTTCCTCTTTTAATGCAAGCTCTTTTTACGATGAAATGAAGGGATACATGTCGGTGGGTCAGCACATCCGTGACTCTGCATGCTATATGTGCTGGGCGTTTGCCAGAGCGTACAATCCAGACGACGTGAAACCCTTTGTGCACAAAATCTCATCTGGATTGCTGACTGTTGCCGTTTTTGATCGCGAGGTAAATTGCAGACGAGCTGCCTCCGCCGCATTCCAGGAAAGCGTAGGTCGCTTGGGTAACTTCCCTTTCGGCATCGAGATCTCCACAACCACGGACTTTTATTCCGTGGGCATTCGTCAAAACTCCTATCTGAACATCAGCGATTATATTGCTCAGTTTGAGGTTTATAGGGAACCTTTGATTAATCATCTAGTGCAACATAAGGTCAACCATTGGGATCCAGCAATTAGGGAGCTGACAGCCAAGGCCTTGCATAAGCTTTCCCTCAGGGAACCTGAGTACATGGCCGCTGTTGTATTGCCACAACTGTTGGCTAAAACTGATACCATCGATATAAACTGTCGTCATGGATGTGTTTTGGCAATGGGAGAGATAACACTTGCCCTTCGGAAACTAGAGGAAAAGAATGATCCATCTGTGGCTTACCTTTCAAATCAAAGGATTGCGGAGCTCAACGAACTAATAAAGACATTCTTAGACAAAAGCTATTATCGCGGAATGAGCGGCGAGCTGATGAAATCCTGTACAGCCAACTATATTAAAAACTGCAGTCTGGCCAAGCTACAGGCGACGACCGAATGTTTGAGTAAGGGATATGTTACCCAACTAATGTTATATATTTAATAGAATTATGTTTATCCTTTTAAGCATCCTGGCAGAAAGTCATAGACTACTGTCTGGTAACTAAGTCAACCTCCATTCGGGACTCTGCAGTCGAGGCTTTTGGCGAACTCTGTACCGCGTATTACAGCTTGGATTCCAGACACCAGGAAAACGAAGAGGTCATTTATACTTATCTAAGAGGAGCCGAAAATGATTTGGAGGAGCACATACGTATGGGATATATTGCTGCTTTGGGAGTACTTCCAGCCTTTATGATCCGTCCTCACCTGTCGGACATTTTGGACTGTCTGGTGAGGCATTCGTTGACCCCTTTGCAGGTGGTTCTGGCGGGAGGAATGGGCGACAGGGAAAATGTTCAAACATACAGATGGAGCGAAGCTCGGACAGAGAGCGTGAGAGCCTTGACTAAATTGGTGAAAACCGTAGGATATAAAAGTGGAATTGGTAAGTTTTGGGGTATAATAATAAGGTTAAGATGCAAAAATTAAATCGCATAATTATCCTTTTCCAGACTCATTTGCAGACCCTAAAAACTTTAACAAGATTATTGAATGTCTGCTAAAAGCTTTAAACGAATATACCCTGGACAATCGCGGCGATATTGGAGCTTGGGTTAGGGAGGCGGCTATGACTTCGCTTTATGAGATCGTGACACAGTGTCCGCCTGATCTCCTTGCCCCAGAACATGTCCATCAGATTGTTGTGGGCTTTATGCAGCAGGCTGTGGAGAAGATTGATCGCACTCGGGGATTAGGCGGCCGCCTCTGCTGCCAGCTTATTCATCATCAACCCAGGATACCGCATATACGAGAGCATTCGAAACTTCTGGAAATATTCCCCGCGGATGCGGATTCCGTACTTTGGCTATTTGCTGATCACACATTCCCATTGTTTTGTGAGCTTCTCTCTCTGCCTGATTACTCTAAAAGAGTCCTTTTGGGCTTGAGTGCGAGCATAGGTCAACTTACTGAATCTCTGGTAAGTTAGGTGGTACCTTTTGGTAAATCTGTTGGATTCTAAAATGTTTATCCCACAGATCAAGTATGCCTCTAGTGCCTTATTCCAATTTTTGCGTTCCAATCCCGAGACTGTGCCACGTCTTTGCTCCGAGGTTGTTCAGATTTTCGAGGAGCACCTGCTGAACGAACGAGTGACTTATCCAATGCTCAGTTTTCTGGATATTCTCATAGGATCTGGAACAGTAGAATCTGTACTTCATGATGAAGCAAACCCTTTTGCCGAGGATATCTTTAGATTGCTAAACCTGGAAGTTAAAGGCTATAAGAAGTTGTATAAGACCGCTACCAGCATTAGTGCTTTTTGCCAACTGCTCCAGGTTCCGCGCTTATCCAGACGCGTCCTCTCTAAGCTCTCAGTATTCCTTGGTCTGCAGCATGTCCATGTTCGTAAAACCGCTGCCACAAAATTATACGAAGCGCTGGCTCTTCACGGCGATGTCACCGAAGTTCCAGAGGATAATTTGGATGATATCCTCACACTTCTCTCGGAAACGGACTGGACCATGCCACTGGTGGAGGTGCGTCCGTTGAGAAATCAATTGTGCCACCTAATGGACATCAAGGCTCCTGTGAGTGGAGCCGCATTGCAACAAGCGAAAGCGGAAAAATGAATTTGTGGCAATACCAGTTAAGCTTTTGTAATTTAACATTTGACTTAATTTATTTTGAGATTTTCGCACAATTATACTGATTATGCTGGCAACACGTTTTTGAGCTATGAACGATTTTTTTTTTTTTTTAAGATTATTACTGAGAAGAACACTTTATGAATTTGCTTTGAATTTGAATTTAATTTAATATTTTCAAAGTGCGAGCTAAATAATTTGAAATGATAATACTTACCAATATAAATCAAATCTTTTCTAAAAAATAGAATCTACTATTATTTTTTGTCTTCTTAGAAATGAAAACATTTAACGATTGTTCTTTTGTTTTAATCCTGATCTTGTTTACATATTGTTAAATGCTTTATTGTTTCAAAACAGCCTTTGCTTTAATATTCAAATATTTCATACATAAAATGAAATTCGAAAATTCTTGGTCATTTTCAAGCCGGGTAATTTTCGAAAAGAGCTTGACATTTTCCTATTACACGGCGACGGTCACACTCAGACAGAGACATAAAAAACAACAGAGACAGCGAGGGAATGAAAAATACAAATAAATTAAAGGCGGACAACCGAAAACCAAATAGCAAAGAGGGATAAAAGGGCTGAGATCAATTAAACACCGCCGGACTTCACACGGAGAAATTTGTCATAGAAATTGTTTTTTTTTAAACAAAACACAATCTTGCAAACACACACGTTTCTTTAGCGTTACACAATTGTGGATTGTGGTGTGACAATTGTTCTGGATTCAGTTTAAATCACGATGAGTATTTGGGGTATCCGATGTCTTACGCAGAAGTTCATCCGTCAGGCTTATATTCTGGCCAGCAGGCGGCTAATGAGCCCAGTGCCACAGCGATCACCGCCGGTATATGGTAAGTGAGGTTAAGGCCGGCAAAAGCCGTTTTGTGATTTATTGTTTTTTATAAGATTTAATTAATATTGTGTTTTCTTTACGATTATAGCACCACATCGTTTGGCTCACAGTAGTCTCTATCAAATGGTAAAGAAACGTACCCTCGAGGCGCGCACCAAATTGCAAGCAAACAAATATCCGAATAACCAAGCCTGCGTCACCAAGCCCCTAACCATGACCCAAAATGAAGAATGCGAGGAGGTCGCGGAGGCCACCGGCATTCCCAGTTTCGCCAATGCCCAGTTTCAAGCCCAATCTCAGTCGGAGCCACTCTTTAAAGTGGTATCCATCGCTCATCCCATCCACCATTCATTTTAGCTCGCTAAGTTCGGGGATGCAAACATTGGGATTCCACTTTAGCCGAAAAACTGATATAAGCTTTAGTAGTAATGAGATATTTCATTTCACTCCAAATTAGTCATTGTGAAGTTCATATCAAGATGTAAATGTCAAGAAAGGCTGGGCTATGTATTTGAAACCCGTTTGCATCCTTGCCTGGAATTCTTATAGAGCTGATTAAAAAATTTCCTAATTAAATTTCAGGGCTTTGCAGATGTCAAGTCAGTCTGCAGCGCTAAGGATGTGCTCAAGTCTGATAGCGCACGGCTCAGCACCAGCCAAACAGTTCTAGATAGCTGCAAGCAACCCAATCCTTGTGAGGAATTCAAACGAAAACGAAAAGAGACAACTTGCCAGCCGTGCAACGAGGATGGAACTGCTCCAGGGGACTGTGGTGGTGGTGGTGGTGACGAAGAGGTGGAGTGCCGAATGAAGGACCTACGTCTCAAGTGCCTGCTTGGTGCCTTGGCCGCTCTACTAGCTGGAGGATTTGTATGTTAACATCTGATATCTTCAAAAGTTCCTCTTTAAATGTTTTTTTTTTTAACTTTCAGCTCGCTTGGTTCATGACGAGGGATACGGAAGACAAGGAAGCCAAAAAAGCACAGGAAGAGGAGGAAGAACGGAAACGTAGATTGATAGCTGGACTAGCTACGAGTAAGTATGCGCTGGCAGATAAGCACAAGCCAATTTCATCATGATTGGATAATATAACGAAAGAATTACAAAATTGTTATGTTGCTTATCATAGGCCATTAGGCGAAAAGATAACTGCAATTGGGAAATGTGAAATTCGGTAGTATTTCAATTTGTTTTCATCTGCAGGTCCGCCGAGTTCTGAGGACCTTCCCAAGCATGTTCCATACCTTATTATCGGTGGCGGAACCGCTGCCTTCTCAGCCTTCCGAGCAATCAAGTCTAATGACGCAACTGCCAAGGTTTTGATGATCAGCAACGAGTTCCGCAAGCCTTACATGCGTCCTCCGCTGTCAAAGGAACTTTGGTACACGCCCAATCCCAACGAAGATCCCATCAAGGATTATAGGTTTAAACAATGGACAGGTTCCGAAAGAAGGTAGGCTTCATTAGTATTATGTTTATGAGCAAATTTTTTATTCCCTAATTCCTTTACAGCTTGTTCTTTGAGCCAGACGAGTTTTTCGTGGACCCCGAAAATTTGGATGACAGTGCCAATGGCGGAATAGCTGTCGCTCAAGGTTTCACCGTGAAGAAGGTGGATGCGCAAAAACGCATAGTGACGTTGAACGACGGCTATGAGATTGGGTACGACGAATGCCTAATTGCCACGGGCTGTGCCCCCAAGAACCTGACGATGCTCCGTGATGCACCACCCAGTGTGCTTGAAAAAGTAATGGTCTATCGTACACCTGATGATTTTGATCGTCTCCGAAAATTGGCGGCTGAGAAGCGATCAATCACAATTGTTGGTAATGGTTTTATCGGAAGTGAGCTGGCCTGCTCTTTGGCTCATTACTCTAGGGAGAACAATGGCGGCAAGGTGTACCAAGTATTCCAGGAGAACGCCAACATGTCCAAAGTTCTGCCGAATTATCTTAGCCGTTGGACGACGGCAAAGATGGAAGCCCAGGGTGTCTGCGTCATACCCAATGCCAGCATTCGATCTGCGGTCAGAGATGAAACCAATCTAAAGTTGGAATTGAATAATGGTATGACCTTGATGTCCGACATTGTGGTAGTTTGCGTGGGTTGTACACCCAACACAGACCTCGCTGGTCCCAGCAGACTGGAGGTAGATAGGAGTCTCGGAGGTTTCGTGGTCAATGCGGAATTGGAGGCCAGACGGAATCTTTACGTGGCTGGCGATGCCTCCTGCTTCTTCGATCCTCTGCTGGGCAGGCGACGAGTGGAGCACCACGACCATTCGGTGGTCTCCGGACGGTTGGCTGGTGAAAACATGACGGGAGCAAGTAAGTCTCTATTTCCACACCTAATAGTTGACCCATTTTAATGAATACTCTTTTACTTTTCTTAGAAAAACCCTATCAACATCAGAGCATGTTTTGGTCTGATCTGGGTCCAGAAATCGGATACGAGGGCATTGGTTTGGTGGACTCCTCATTGCCAACTGTTGGCGTATTCGCCCTGCCCTCGAATACTGGCGAACGGGTGGACCAACTGTCAGAGTCAAGTGATTCTGAGGTCTCTGCAAGTTCAAGCGAGTCGACGGAGAGCGATGCCGTTGTTACCCCAGATGGCGTTACCTGTGATCCCGATGAGGCGGCCAACTATGGCAAGGGTGTGATATTCTATTTGAAAAACGACAAGATCGTCGGCATCCTGCTGTGGAACCTCTTCAATCGGATAGGCTTAGCTAGGACGATAATCAATCAGAATAAGAAATACGATGACCTCAATGAGGTGGCCAAGCTGTTCGAGATTCACGCGTAGAGAACCGACAGTCCCGAGGGGACCAAGGAGAAAATCTTATCATTATCCTGAAATGCTAATAAGTCGATCAGTACCGAATGCCTTTAACTGTGTTTACTGTGTACATATGCAACTGCAACTAGATATGAACGGCAATGACGCAATGCAACAGAAATTTTAGTTTTATTATTTTTGGAATAAACCTTTTTTGTAGTTAACGACAGTAATATGTTTATATGGTAGCAATATCGTATCGGCATGTAAATATTCAAAAGTCGTGGGTTAGCGAGTATCTATCTGTTGAATTGTGTGTAATTTTCCTAATAAAATAAGCGTCAAAAAATTTGTTGACAAAATTTTGCACAGCATCTATATTGTTTAACATTTTGCATTTTCACTGTTGAAACTCGCTTTTTTATCAGTAGATTGATTGGTTATTAAACTAGAATTAAGGCTTTTGTTTATTTTTAAATCAAAGCATTGGAACTTTGAAAGAGACTTTGTTTTATTTGATCAATAAATAGTGGTATTAAGAAGTTCATTTTTGAAAATTGCTTTTATTTATTTATGAATTTAAAGAAATTTAAAATTGTAATATAATGACAAGAAAACTATGTAACCTAGTTGTTTCCAGTACGAGTTGTCATAACTTCTCAAAGTCGAAAAAAAGGTATTCCAAAATTCCAAGAATTTATTTGAAGTTCTTTAACAATTGTAATAAACCATCTGCCGTTAAAAGGATTGCACCTGGCTTATTAGGGTAACGCGGATTAGCCAGGTTTTAAAATTCGCGAAATATCATCGTTGATCTTACCTGTGACCTGACCAAAGGTTACTTATTAGCGCGATTGGGATTACCGGCCAATTGGTAGGTAGAACTTAAGAGTGGGTTGCCTCTTCTAGCAGGTAAATTCGCGAACTATATAAACTTGCGCCACAACTCAGCAGGACATCAGTTCCTTTTTGACACTCCAACCATGAAGTACCGCATGTTGAACAAACGTAAGCAGGCGACACCTTCGCCAGTGAGAGACTCCGGAGTAGAAGACGTATCCTTGGTCAATCACAGTGCCTTGGAATTGGAGGCAGCTTCTGCTTTGTTGCTACTACGGTATCAATACGATCGGCAGGCGTGCAACAATATTATTTCATACACTGAATCCTGTTCTCCAACTCCTCCCCCTGCCGTGGCTGATAATACAACACCCAAGGATCAGACAGTTCGTCCACCCGTCACCAGCCAGCCATTAAAGAAACGCTCTATACCGTCGCACCTCCTTAGAAGATCTTTGACACCGGCTAAATCAGAGAATTCGGTTATCAATAAGTCTATAGTCAAGGCCAAAACAAGGACTCCAGTGCCCAGTAACGAGCGGAGCTGCAATAAGGCTCTGCTTAAGTCCTGCAGGAATATGATTCGTGAGTTTTTGGACAATCAGGAACTCATCTAAAACCAAGTAACCAAGTGCCAAAATATTTCTAGAATAAGTACATTTTATAATTTTATACTTTTGATTCAAGATTTTACAAAAAGTTAAAGGAAAAAAGTTGAAAAAAAATTAAGATTTAAGAAATCTGTTTATAGAATTTGTATAATATTGCCAAATCAATTTCTGTATTTTATACTTGCAACAAAAAGAAATAATGAAAATATATTGCCCAGTAAATTTTGAAGCACCAAAAATGATAGTCAATCTCAAGGATCTTGGATTTCACTTTTCAATTTATTTATTGCATATAAATTTGTTTCCTTTTTTTATACATATATAAATTATGTATTGATCGAAAGATAACGTTTTCAATGGAAGAACAGGTATTGTGGCGACACTAGAGTGCTAATTATTAGCTATTGGCGGTGTTTATACTTAAGGCGTACGAAAAACAAATAGAAAATTATCATTACCATAAATCTACACAATAATTAATAATTACAGTTGCACTACAGGCTAAATGTATGAAAGTGCATTGATGATATCTCTCCCTAACTCGATTCATTCTGTTTGATATAATTAATAAAGTGCTTCAAATGTACATTTTCTATTGTTTCATTGTATTTAGAGCTGGTGAGTGGGTGGTGATTGGGTGGTGGGGGTGTGGGTGTGTGGTGGTAAGATCGTAAGCGTTTTACAAACTAAACTTGTTAATGCTTAAATGAACACCTTCATTTGCTGCAACATCTCCTGCTGGGCTGCCATTTAATTGCAGCCGCTTAAGCTACAGTACAAATAATATAATAAAATTAAAGATAATAGAAAACTAATGTGTATACATATATGCTTGTGTGTATCATCATTGCTATATTAAAATGGAAGCCAATGTTTTATTTTTCTTGTTTTTTTTTATATGTATGTGTTTTTGCTTGTTGCAGTGTAACTAGGGCTAAGGGGCTCAATTGAAATTGAATTTTGAAAGCTCTCTTTTCAGGCTGATCTTAAAGACAGAGCAATCCCATCCTTGCAAGAAGGATCACAAAACTGTTTCAGTTTCGTTTGTTAGGATTGCTCTTTTTTCGGTATGAATTCAGCCATAATGTGAATCAAAGATAATTCTGTTGTTATCACAAGAAATCAATTTGTCTTGTTGTATACAAAAAACTCTTTCTATGCAGATTTGTATATTAATTAACAATTTCGCCAACAATTCAAATTTCATATTTCCTTCACTTTCTTTCTATTTTAACAATGTTTGTTGGTTTTTACTTTTTTTTTGTTTTCATAAATTTGAAACCATTGTTGAGGCAACATTTGTAAAGCTCAAAGGTGGCAACACTTAAGGTCTAAGCTACTGCCTAATGTTCTCTCCTTAATCACTACTCATTACTTATATATGATTGATTATGGTTAGGCGTTCTTTGTTTTTTTGTTTTGTTTTGTTTTTGATAAATGTAGAAATTGGCACATAAATCGAAGGCTGCGCTGCGCCGGCTCAAGAAATCTACTTACAACAATGAAATTACATGCACTCTGCATTTGCTTAGCTTAGCTTAATAAATACGCTTGATGTATAAAATATATGTATGTTATGTATGTGTGTTTATGCAGATATGATTTCTATATACAGAAAGTCGGGCAGGTCGTATCAGAACAGCGAAATCTATTCTTTGAAGGACATGAGGAATTCAGATTTAGAAATTTTATATTGAATATCAATTTGTATGTAAGAAAGAACTAAGAGCTTGTTTTATATAGTTTCTTCAAATTCTTCAAAGATTAGTTTTCCATATGGTTTGCCTATCCTACGACCCATCCTAACCGAAAGGCATCCAGATCTATGTCCAGCAGGGTGTCTGTTTATATGTTTGTGTGTGTGCGCATGTTGTGCTGGTCCCATATTATTTAGGTCAGGTAATGTTGTGTGTGTGTGTGTGCTCAGGAGGGAGTTGAAGATGAAAGTAGTACGGTGATTGTTACAGGTTATTGCTCTTCCTACTGCCGCATATGCCTGAACGAATCCTCCGACTCTCCGCCATTACAATCGCTATCCATGGGCACGGGTTGTGCCTGCTCACTGACCTGATCCATGGGTCTGGGCGAGCTGCTGGCAGTGGAGGCGGCGGGCTGCTGGTCATCCGACTTCGGAGATTGCTCAGCTGGCGAAGCGGCTCCCTGATGATCGTTATAGCGTATCAACTTAATGGTCGTCAGCCCGTCAGCGTTACGAATGAGTCTGCAGGGCGGAAGTTTGGATTAGCTCTCTGATATGAAAATGAGTCTTGGCAGACTTACGGATAGCAGTCCTCGTTGCTGGTGGCGTTGCTCTTGCTACTGACACTCAGATCCGTGGGCTTCAGATCCTCGCCAGCGCTTTCCGAACCTGATCCCGAGCTATTCTCCAATTTCAGGGGATGGAACTGAAACTTATCGGGTCCTCCAACAGCGGATGGGGTGTTCAGGGCAGGGGAATTGGGTGGCGGACCAGCTGCCGCCGCCGAAAGGTAGTGAAAAGCTCCATTAATAGCGTGCATGAAGAGCGGCGATGTGGGCGGTGGTCCATAGGCTGCAGCAGCTGCTGCTGCCACAGCTGCCACGGCGGGCAGGCTCATCGGTCCATTCCGTGAGGCGGGACGCTGGGGCGATTGCTGTTGCTGCTGCTGGGACTGCTGCTGCTGTTGCGGATTCCAATTTTGGCCAGCAGGACTTCCAGGAGCCTGATTACTGCCTTGCGGCATCGATGAACCGTTACCATTTCCATTCGCCGGCGTCGATTGCCGCAGAAGCGAAATATTCTTGATGTTCTTCAGTTCCGTGGGATTGCGTAGAAACTGATAGCAATGTCGCTCGCCTTGTACTTTGCGGAGTATGTTTAACCCTGTAATAATAACGCAGGGCACGCGACATCTTGTCGTAGTTCATGGACAGATGATTCTTCTGGATGCCCCATAACTTGGCCAGACCGGCGGGGTCGACGATCTTGAAGACACCCGTATCGCGGCACTTCCATGCTATCAGATCGCTGTACTTCTGGTTGCGATCGTTTAGCAGCTGTTGCAAAAAGTCCCACAACAGGCGGCCATCTAAAAGAAGTAAAGAATGGGGTTTAGTTTCTGTTTTAGAAATAATCTCATTTAACAACTTACTCGTATTGGGCTCTGAATTTTCGGGGAAGAACTCCCTCTTGGCTTTATACATATAACTGGGTGTGGTCGGTGCGGAGATGGATCCACCGGCAGGGGTCACCACTGGGCCAGCAGTATTATCTAGAGTCAACTTCTGGGGCATTTGTTGTTGCTGCTGCTGCTGCAACTGTTGCTGCTGTTGTGCTTGAGCTGCGGCTGCGGCCACTGCAGCAGCCTGTTGCTGCTGTTGCTGTTGTTGCTGTTGGGACCACGAGTTTACAAAACTATTCGTAAGCTGTTGCGTCCAATTGGGCTTGATGTCTTTCAGTATGGGTGTTCCCGGCGGACTGGCCGTGCTGTAGGACAGCGGTGCTGTTTGCAACTTGCCCACTCCACCGCTAGTCTCAGAGTATTCCTCCTCAGAATCGGAGTGATTGCTGCTGGCACTGCTAATGCCCTTCATGGGCATAATGTTCGGCTGGGTGCCATTACTTCCGGTGCTGCTGGCACTGGACGACGTGGGATTGCTGTTGTTAGTGGCGCCACCAGCATTGGTTGTTGGTCCTGATACTGTTGCTGCTCCTCCAGAGACTGCTCCGTTTTGGTACGGTGCCTGGGGTGGACTACTCGCTTGGGAATCCACTGAGGGCGGAGGACTCAGCGTCACAGAGTTCGGTGCCATGAAATGATGTCCCGCCAATCCGTGAGCCGAACTATGGAAGGGACTGTTTTCCGGCGGTGCATTTAATGGTGGCCACGTAGGTGTCGGCGGATGACTGTGCGGCGACAGGGGATAACGACTGGTGGGCGTTACTGGACTGTTGGGCAGATGCCACTGCATCATGTGGGACTCTATGATCAACATCTGCAGCACATTGTGAAGCACATCTCCTGCCCCCGGACATCTGTGTCCGAAGTCCGCTCGTGTCAGCAAACACAGCGCCTTGCCGTTCATTTGGAAGAGATCAAAGTCGAGCTTAGGGAGATCGAATTCGCGGACACAGAACCGTAGGAAGACGAGCACATCCTCGCGGCTCCAGAGACGCGGATCAGAGGGCAGGGAAGGGGGCAGTTGTGTCTTAAGCTCCGCCAATTGGCTGGAGGGCGCGGGAGGGCAGCGCCAGAGCACATCATTCCAGATGCCTGGATTCAGCGAGTTCAATGATAACTGTACTGGGAGCATTTTCATTTTGGACATGCAGCCACAGTGTGTAAGGAAGTATCCTGGTCAGCGGATCCGTATCAGTGGGAGCCACTAATGGTGCCTTTAAATTGTATTATCTAAAAATAAATAGAAAGAGTAAATATAAATAAGTATATAATTTCAAAAATATGAAAGCTAAATATAATTTTTAATAAAGAAGATTATCTTTTAGAATTTACTAATGCTAATAATAAATACAAAAATGTTGTTTCAAAAGGAATAATCCGATGAGAATGTATAATTTTATGAAACTCAGTCACTAAGTTTTGTTTTAAGTAATAATATTTATTGGCATATATGAGTGTTACTTTCTTGTATATATTATTGAAAGTTGATTATACTATTTTATCTTTCGTTGAGCTTTGTTCTGAGTAATCCCAGTAAACGTGATTCACATTCCTATAAATCACTGTACTCTAAATTTGTATTTTCACTGCCTTTTTAGGTATTACTGAAACCCTTCGACAAATTTCAGAACTTGTTTTTTTTTAAACAAACACAATAACACACAACATACATTTGTCTGAAAAACCATTTGAGTAATTTCAAGGGAAACTTTTTTGTTTATTTTAAATATGGAAAACTACCACAGAATCTGGCATGGATGCCAAGCACACAGTTCTTTTGGCGGTTCAAAGTTCACTACTGAGAAATTAACATCGCAAAAGGATGTGGCCAAATGGTTGTTGTTGATCACTCGTCGACACACTTCCGCCAGAGAAATATCTAAGCGGACACATCACCTAGTCGTGGAGTAGGGGATAACACTGATCCCGCTCCCAGACGCCACACATACCGATCCAATCCGATTTGATCCGTCGTCGTCGACGGGAGCGAGCGGGAGAGCGACACTCAGACAGACATTCGCATTCCAACCAAATCAGATTTCTTCATAATCGTCGCGGGGCAGCCGATGGATGAGGATGAAATAAACAAATAATATATCTCTCCGATGCCGACGCAAGAATAACAAAAACAACAGAAACGCGACGGAATGAATCTATTTGTGCGTGCGTATATTTGTGTGTGTATGTGTGTAATGATATAGCCGATATATTGCGGGCAAGCGCATCCGAACACTACTTGGCGCAAACTGGCGACGGGATCTCGATCTCGGAGAGCGAAGAGCGTGACTCACTGGCAGCGGCAGAGACAGAGGCAGCGCAGCAGAGGATCCGATCAGGCAGCGACAGAGGTCTGGACCGGACCTCTCTCTCTTTTCTTCCTTCTCGATATCTCTGCTCAGCGGGCATCTTCAGCAGCAGCGGCAACAGCAACACACCCCCGCAGCGACCGAGGCGCAGGCAGACCAGAGGAAAAAGAGCAAAAGCGGGAGAAGATTGTTCCAAAATAAAAAGAAGAGGATTCAACCACAACGAACTTTTGAATGCGCTACAAGGGAAAAATATCAACCAACATTTTTATTTTACCACCTGACTTTTGCTCTTTTCTATTGATATTTTCTTCCCTCCGTTTATTGAATTTAATTTTTAGTTTTATAACAAACTTTTAGTACCCAACGTGAGGCCTTGCCTTAAATCCCCTTTAGGCTCTTCCGCTTCTAAATACGGATGGTTATTAAATTGTTGACACTTCACACCTCAAAAGAAATTCATAAATACAAAATTTCCACAACCTTGGTTTTAATTTCACTTCCTGAAGATATTTTGGAAGGTTTTATTTAAGATTTATAAAAAATTATCCAAATAATAAACTCTTAGAGCATTTCTTAGTCGTCAAAGAGTAGCGGCAAAAGCTTTTTAATTGTAAATTTCTCAATATGGTAATTTCCACCAAAAATGTGTGATCTCTTCTGGTGGTATGGGTGTGCATGGGCGGCAGTACACACTGCCATTCCGGATGTGTACAAACCAAACGCAGACACACGAATACCGAAAGACGTATACACACACATGGCGGTGATCATTTGCTGTAAAGATTTCAACATAAGCGAATGTATTGATGGCACCAGCCGACGGGTGCGGGGCATGAGGTACGGGGTACAGGGTACCGGGGGAGCGGCCAAGTCGAACGTCTCTCGAAACTTGAAAGCCGTGCCCATTGCCCACTCTCGTATCTTGCTGCAGCAGCAAACGGAAGTGCACATTCCAAACAGAAAACCCGTTTCCAAAAGCAGCAGCCAGAGAAGAGGGAGTGGGATGGGAGCGACCAGTGTTGGAGAAAGACGCTGCTACGGATGGGGCAACTAATAAATCCGCCAGTGGGTAAAGAGAGCAGCAAGTCTCAGTCGGTGGATCGAGATGATTGTGGCAAGTATGGGGATGTTGAGGAGCAGGAGTAGCATCCAGCCAAAACGTGGGGCACCCTGTTCACAAACACAGCCAAAGTAAGCAATAAAATGGTAACATTCCTCTTGATTATAAATTTTAAAATTAATTTCAGATCTTCACTGACTTAGTTAATGTTACTTTAATGGTTTTGATTTGTTTCTTAAGTTATAGTTAATGTCTTAAAATGTTGTTCCCATAAGCAGAGCAATATTTCCTTGTCCTGTGCTGTATTTATTCCCACATATAGCCGGACCAGACGTTTTCGCTGCACACATGTTCAGATTTATCTCGCATCTCTCCCCGACCGACTCGGTTGTCTTGCTCTCCCGAAAGAAACTTCCTCATTCTCCGGGAAGCGCTTTCAACAAGTGAGCACTGCCGAGAGCGCCAGAAAGGGAGGGCAAGAAAGAACATGAAATATTTGTGATGGCGATGGGGAAAGAAAAAAGGGGGCGGAGGACGGATGATGATGATGATGAGGAGGAAGATAATAATCGCCTTGAATATTTTATTGTGCATGTACATGGCTTAGAGGGGGTCTATCCGATCCACAACCGATCCGATCTATTTGTTTTTGAAGAGAGCTAGAGGTAAATGCTGATGCCCCGCTGCTGATTGTGCACACTCCACCATACAGACACACACATACTGATACAAAAACGATCCTACGTGTTATTTCGGTTGCCACAACACATGGTTGAGTTTTCACTAAAATAAAATCATATATTCTAGTGCACACATGTTCCGCAGCACCAGCAACGGCAACACAAAATAAATAAACATTCGGCTAAAAGTTGGAGTCGGTGGCACGTAGTAAAATGACAAATGAATGCTCATCAGCCAGCTAAAAAGAAAACAACAATAAGGAAGGCAGGGCAGCAGCCCAGGAACAAGCAGAGTTGGGTCAGTACACTGACGAAAAAAATTCAGGTTAACATATATAAAAATTTCAAAGACTATATAATGGAAGTAAATTAAAATTGGCGCCCAACCAAACGACTTTTTTGCAGGACATAAAAATCGAAATGTCCTATTAATGTATGTTTTAAAAGTAACAAACACACATTTTTTACAGTGGAATAACTTGAAGCAGTCGTCTCACACACGCAATAAGAGTATAAAGAATATTTCTAAATCTCGGCGCAGGAGGCGCGGCAGAGAAGAATCCGAAAAGAGCAGCATTAACTCACTCTCTCTCTCTCTCTCTGGCACAACTCGAAATCAACTCAGGCACACAGGTAGTTCAAAATCGGAGGTAAGGTATGCGAACGATCTCGAACCGGTTTCAACGGAAATTACAAACGAAAATTATAAAACGATCAGTTTAGAAAAGAAAGAAAAAAGAAATAAATGCCTGGGGGAGTGGAAGGAAAGCTGGAAAACCAAATACAAGCAAATGGGTTAAAAGAATTTCATGGGCTCTTTCTACGAGTATTTGCAATGTTTCCGTTTTTGGCGAAGGCGGAGGAGGGGTCTTTCGTGTGTGGGATCGTGGGATCGGAAATGCTAGAAAATGGGACATGGCAGATCTGAAAGGCGGATAAGGAAGTCGAGGAGGTAAGCGTTCTTATAGAAGAGAAAGGAAAGGATTATATGGGACAGCCATCAGATAAGATTAAGTTAAACGTTAATGCCAGCTTGGATTTTAGCACTATTAACCCTATCTACTTTTCAAAATCTTTACTGAAATATTTCCATTTTTCATATTTTTACATAAAAATAACCGACATCAGATTTAATACCTTCTTCTACTAAGTGAAAAGTGGCTTCCAGCTCAGATTTCACTTACAATCCAACACTATAGTACTTCCCTATCGCTTAGCCCCTTAAGATGACACTCGAATGGCATTTTTGATCGGCACTCCTAGACGCAGCTGGAATTCCAGCTTGCAAGTGAATCACCCGAGTGCCCAGCCAGGAGTTGAACGTTAATGAGTAATTTCCGCAGGCGCATCCTCTTCTCTTCGGAACCCCGCCACGCCTCTCTTACCCAGTCCACATACTGTGTGCATCAAGTGCTGCGCAGTAAGAACGATGGGAAAATAAGAAAATCTGATAGCCATAAATGACGGGGGAAAAAGGAACCCGAAGAGAGACAGAAGCGACAGCAGCCATGGCGCATTAAGATTAACGGCTCAACGCTCCATCGAAGGGAAGGTGCAAGAAAGAAAGAGTGAGAGGGATGCTGTCTCCCTTTTTACACTGAAAAATGCATCCAAGATGCACATTAAAAATTTGTAAAAAAAAACCTTATGTTCATTTTGTAAATGAAAAACCTTTTCTTTTTGACTTTAGAAAAAGATTGTTCAACATTTAGAGGATATTTTCTTCAACCCAGCACTACATTTCTCTCAGTGTAATGATCAGGTAGAGAAGCAGCGCAATGAGGAAATGCGTCCGTCCTTCCCCTACCTGATCTGCACTTTGCTTTACATCTTGTAGGACTTCTTGGAAACCCGGCTGCGGATCTGTTCGAGACCCATCAAAGAATGGAATGAAGTAACTGAAAGGAAGAATGACGAGGCATGTGGTGCACGTTGCCTATGGTGGTGGTTGTTGCTGTTGCTGTCGTTGACATTTGATCTCTTTTATGAGGTCTTCCTTGAGCGAGCTCAAGTGCAGCATCGGCTTTTTTGTTTATCTCTTCTTTTCTGTTGTGCTGGTGTTTTTAGGTCTGGCCCCTAAATCAACCCCTAAAGCCAAGGGATTTGACCCTAGTCCGCAAATTGTCTGTAATTCAATGAGTTTACTTGTTGGGGGTCTTACTGCGATTCGATTCATATCGA